TTAGCTCTGTCTTATTCTAGAAACTTTATTGTTATCTACACAGTATAGTAGAGATATAGAAACAATTGTACTAAAACGAGAGAGATCACATCTGCCCAGAAAGATCAAGAAAGACTTTGTAAAGAAGATGCCATCTAAAATAGAGTTGAAAGATTGGCTGTGTTGTTGACGTGATCAGAACAGTGCTTTAGGAGCACTGTTTTCCTGTATGTTTGTGTCAGAACAGGATGAATTGGAGTGGACAGAAACTGTAGACACTTGCTATGTGCCAGCCACTTCTAGGTCTCTGACCTCATGACCTGATAGAAGGATGTACAAAATAAACAAGTGTATAAAGCGTTGATGGTGATAAATGCTATTAAGAAAAATGCAGGACAAAGGAATGGAGGATGAAAGAGGAGAGGTCATGTTTTAAAGAGGGTTATTAGGGAAAGCTTCTCACTAAGACAGTATTTGGAAATGGTAAGGGGTGAATGAATTTCAGTGTAATTTAAAGGCAGAGCCAATAGGTTTTACCAAAAGAATTGAATGCATTATGTAAGGGAGAGAAAAAAGTCAAGGTTCTGGCTTACCCCTTGGGTGGAACAATTGGGGCAGCAGCCTTGGGCCACCTACTTGTGAGATATCTTTAAGGATTTCCCAAAGAGCCTATGAAACATCAACAATGAGCTATCCTTTATGATTGTCTGAGGCAAATCTGGTTGAATTGTGATGGGCTCTACATGCTTCTAGAGACCTCCACTCATGAATCCAGGGTTTTTGGCCTGAACAACAAGAAAAATGAACTGTAATTTACTGAGATGGAGAAGACTATGAAGGAACAGGCTTAGTGGTAGTGATAAAGCAGACAGAGGAACAACAGTTAAGATCATATTAGGCTGAAATGCCTATTAGAAATTCAAGTAGAGATATCATGTAGGCAATTTGTATAAGTTTGTCATTCAAGAAGGATGTTCAGGCTAGAAATATAAATGTGGCCATAGAACTGAATGGCATTACCTGTTGAATGATTATGAAAAAAGAAGGAAGCTGAAGTACCGAGCACTAGGACACTCTAACATAAGTGAGAAAGTTGGGGAGGAACTAGTAAAAAGAAGGATGGTGTTTCACAAAGGCTGTCATGATCCAATGTGTCAAACGATGGTGACAGACTGAACTTGCCCATTGAATGTGGCAATGTGGATGTCATAGATACTTTGAAAAGAGCTTTAAAGGTAGAGTGGTAAATGATTGATTCTAGTGATTTCAAGAAGAGTGAGAGGAGAGGGAGTGGACAGCAAGGATCTTGGCTATAAATGGGAGAAAAAAATGGGTCAGTAGCTGGAGGGTCTTATAGTGTCAAGTGAGGGTGGTAGTGATGGTTTTTGATTTATGATGAGCCATTCAGGATAATACATTTGACTAAGTAAAGAGAGATTCTGATAAGGAATACTCAAAGAAGTAATGCCCTTTAAATAGGTGAAAAAGGAGTATAAAAGTAGAGGATTGGCTGTAGATAGGTGCATGAACACTGTTCATGGCAAGAAAAGGATAGATTAGTATATAGGTACAGGTGCAGGAAAACTGATAGATGAGTAATTTACCAAACTCTGATTTTTTTCTACTATCTTAGTTAAATAAGAAGGTAGGGTATCAACAGAAAAAAGAAGAGAAAAGAGATGTGGGAGGTTTGCAGACAAAGGAGAAAGAGTGAAGTAATCATCTATGAAACTTGGTGAATCCTAAGGGCTTAGGATCAAGGTCCCATGATATAAAATGGTCTTGATATAAAATGTTTTTGAATTTAAAGTGATACTGCAGTGCAGTTGAGTGTCTCTCTTTAAGCATATCCAGCTATTTGAGTGTAAGTGGAGCAACTGGTTGGAATTTGTCCAGGGAGGTAGGATAAGGAGAGAGCTATAAGGGATGTGAGGGTGAATGCAAAGGAATTTTATAAGGAGGGAAGAGTACATGAGGGACTGAGAGATGGTGTAAGGGTAGGAGTCAATGGACTGGAGGTCTTGGTGTGGCTAAACAGCTCTTACAGTCAAAATACTAGATGGAATGAGCTAGAAAAATAAAAGGTAGTTTGAATCTGAGATTGTGGATGAGGTACAGTTATACTCTGTGAATGGCTGGGGAGGATGGGTGAAAGAAGACGTCAAAGAACTGAGAGGTCAGGGTATTGGATGTGTCATCATATGGATATTGTAATCCCAAAGATACATAAGAGGAGTAGTGATGGAGAAACAGTAAGACAGATGCTATAGTCTAGGAGTGAGGCGGGAGATCTGAAGGTCAGTGATAACAAGGACAAGTAAAGTTTAAATGAGGGTACTTTAAAAAGATCATGGAAAAATTGAACTGAAAGTTGATATGAATCTTTCCATGAACTTTTTGAGGTACTCACATATAGTTCTGATGGCATGAACTTCGAAGAAACTAGAGAGGTTTTTAGAGAGAAGAATAATAGTTCGGCATGGTAATGGAGAGCAGGAAAAATCCCTGACGTCCAGACTTAGTTGATTGAGGAAGAGGAAGTATCTTTGGATTTCAGTGTAAGCAAAAAGGTGAAGGAAAAGTTCACTGAAGAATTGAAGATAGAGAGGATTTTATTGAAGAAGCACCATGAGTTTCAGAAGTCAAAATGGAAGGATGTAAAAGAGTTGGGGAGTGGGTAACATAGCATCAAATTAAGGGATTTACCAAGCCCATTAAGGAGGGGTCTTCATGATGATGAATGACCTGAGAGTCTTAGGCTTCTCCTGAAGTCTGAGGTTAAAAGAGATATACAGTACAATGGAAATAGGGTACACAGTGTCTTAGGAAAATTGTGATGACACTGTGACACAGTGATTTTGGGTAGAGAGAAACAGGGACTCACCAGGAAGGTAACTTACCTAGCAGGAACTTATTAGGAGCATAAAGAACTCACTGGGCTACCTCTTCAGTTGTGCAAATTGTGGTGTTGAGGCCACTGGAGGTCCATAGTGGCTGCAGCAGCCCCATCAATTTACTTTACTGAAATAGTTCCCCAGAGAAGAAATGTGGATAGTAGTAGTGGGAATAGAAAAGAGGAAGCTGATTAAAATGATATCTTAGTAATAATACAGGAATACAAACATGGTTCTTCCCTTTAAATAATTATAATTTTGGTAGTCTAGCATAGTCTAGCATAGTCTAGCATTAAGAGCTTGAACTTTGGGGGCCCAGATACTTGAATTTAGATCACATCTCTGACACCTAATAACTGCCTGACTTTGGGTAAATTCCTTGATCTATTTGTGCCTCACTGTGCTTTGCTGTAAAATGAAGATTATAATCATATCTACCTCACAGAGCTAAATTAGTTAATACTTGCAAAGTTTTTAGAATACTGCCTGGTATAAAATAAGCACTATATAATTTTTTTGGTATTTTTTTTTAAATCTAAAGCACTTAAAACAGTCTAGCACAAAGTAAGTACTATATAAATATTTGCCATTGTAATCAATTGAGAGAACTGACTGAAAGTATAAATGTAGAAGGCATGCATTTTCAAGGTAGGTAGGTAGAATTAAGAATGAAGTTTGCGACCATGAAACACAAAAGAACTAGAGAAAAAAATCAAATTTGGATTCATTAACAGTAATCTGGGACAGTTCTGTGTGTTAAGCAGAAAGAACATAGAGTAATGGCATGAACAGAGTGAATGTGCTCAGCATTGGGGAAGACTTCACAAAGGAGGTGAGTTTGTAGTAAGGTTTGAAGGAAGCGACAAGAAGAGTCAGGAAGGAATCACAAATTCTCAGGGGCGATTACGACAATCGGCTAGTTCAGCTCTCAAGAGTTTTTTAGCTTGGTAGGATATTTCTAGCTAGATTTGAGTCTCCTCAGGAAGTGGTTTAACTTTGTTTCTTTCTTTTTTTTTTTTTTCTTATATATATATATATATATATCAGGTTTCAATCTTTCACTTTTTTTTTTTTTTGCAAACATGTAACTAGTACACCAGTAGTGTGTATTTAACTGATCTTTAGGAAAGGTATTTAGTGATTTTGTAGAGTTCTCTGTGGAGGCTTTCTTACCTGTGCCTTACTGTTACGGTATTTCACTTCTTTGGCTTGCAAAGTTTATAATCACTTTAGTACTATTCAGGGGAAAAAATTTTTTTTTAAAAAGCATCAATCATCTAAATAGAAAAAAATTATTTGTACAAATGTTATATAGTAGATGACAATTTCCAGTTTCAGCAGTACTTAACAACATTGAATTCTTTTTATTAATCACAAAAACATGTACCATTTCCTCTGTGTAGGAATGGACAGGTAGGTTCAGATACCCTTTTTCCTAAAGGTGATAATGCCCTTAACTCTGCAAACTCAGCACCCGTATGTTGGAAGGAACTCTTTACCTTCATCTTTCAAAGAAGGAAAATATCTGCCTGTTCATCTTATCAGTTACTCCTAAATAGAGAATAGAGAAAAATATGACTTTAGACTTGCTTAGAGCTTACCCTGGTAAGAATAGTGGGTGCTAGACAGTAGTGCTGTATTCCTTATGTTCTATACCCACGGCAAAAATTGCTAATCTTTTTTGGCATTGTTTCTCACAGATTCTGGTTATAGTTTCAGAATCTATTTCATCATAGTACTGGAGGTACCTGCTACTAATCCATAATGATTATTCAGTATATGTCAGGTATTATGCTAAGCATGTTACATATATCACCTTATTACAACAGCCCTATGAGGTTTTACAGATGAAGACACTGAAGATCAAAGAAGTTAAGAAACCTAGTCAAGGTCCTAACAGCTGAAAAGCAGGACAATCAAGACTCAAATACGAGAGTACTTTAAAAAGTTCATGGAAAAATAGAATTAACAGTTAATACAAATCTTCCCATGAATTTTTTGAAGTACCCTCATACAGGGTACTTTCCTTCCAAAATCTCACTTAACCATTGTATTTTAATTCTTGGCACTAATAATGAAATGTCATTGCCATCCTTGTAACATATTTGACAATTAATTTAACTTTCAGGATCTTGAATATATAACAGGAAAAAACGAAAGTGAAAGAAAGGAAAAGGCAAGGAGTTCCTAAAGAAGGTAATGCAGCGATCTTAAGAAATAAGTAATTACAAGATCAGCACCAACAAAAATGTAGTATGATGGAATAATTACGTTAAAACTGATAGCGAATTAGAGTAGAGGGAAGCAGTTAAATTTTGGAAGAATCATATATAGAGTTTAGAAAAGGCATAACAACCTGGAAGTACAGGCCTATAGTGAAAATTAATCAACCGTAATTGCTATAGAGTTGTTATGGTAGCACTGTTATTACAGTAAATGTGTAAGTGGTCTGGATAAAAAAATCAAAATATACTGTTTTGTAAAGTAGCAGGTATAACATTATGGTAAGAAATTTTGAACAGCCTATTATGATTGCCTGTGATTTTGGTTTTGTTTATAGTCAGAAAGGGATGATTACCAATCCTAAATTTAGTTTATTTATGAGAAAAACATGAAAAAATTTTTTATGATTATGAGTAAAGAAGCATAACTCTCTTGTTTACATTTTGACTTTTTTTTATGTACTTTATTCTTTTGTCTAGCTATGGATAACCAAGACACATCTTCATTAACTTGTGTTGTAGCACAAGTGGCAAAGCAGCAGCAATTACAAACATCAGAGATAGAAAAAAACAAAAAAGTTCTATTTCATTTGCAGGTAAATTCTTTTATATAGTCTTTTAAATGTCTTTGTTTTCTTCAGAACTAAATTAGTGACAGGGAAGTTATTAAAATACTTAATATTGAGAGTCAATTTTAAATTAATATTTACTCTCTCTCAATTATTCTGTTATCCCTAAAGTCTATATGAATCTTCCAGTTTTATGGAACTTTTTTATACTCCCAATATACAAAGATTCAACAATGGTATTGCAACTGTAGTATAAGCATATAAAACAAAGAATATCACAAAGAATTATCTTAAATTCACTTCTATTTGATAGTTTTTTCCTAAAATGCTGAATTGAAGAAAAGTTAAGTTTTAAGCCAGTGTTTTAAGCTATGGCTTGGGAGTTTCTAAGTGTCAGTGAACATTTCAAGTAGGCTCCCCCTATGTTCTTTCCCTTTCATAATATATTCACAATCACACTACAGGGAATATGGGAGCCATACTTGGTCTTTGCATGTAGCATAATTCGATATGACTACACTCTGTGAATATGACTAAAGAAATGAAAATGAAAACAATATCTTGTGCTTTGTAAAAATTATCATATATATATCGTAGAAATGGAAAGAATAGGCTGTGGACCTGAACTGCCTAGTTTGAAAGGCCAGATTTGCTACTTCTACCTTCATGATTAAATTTTTCTGTGCCTCTGTTTCCTCAGTTGTAAAATGCAGATATTAATAAGACTACCTATAAGGTTTTCATTAGTATCAAGTGAGTTAACTTGTAAATATATGTAAAGTCATTGGTGGAGCCCTGGCAGACAGTATAGGAAGTGATTTTGACATTGGTTTTAAGTATTAATGCATTAGCAGACATATAATGATCATAATTATATTATTATCATAATATGAGTTTCATATAAATATTTGCAATGTTAGTTACATTTAGAACATATTGTATTTATACAATAGAATGTAATACAAAAATAATAACGTCTTAGATTTATATAAATTTTCTGAAAATAGCAATGAAATACCACTTCACTCCAGTTAGAATGGGTATTATCAAAAAGACAAAAGAAAACAAGTGTTGGTGAGGATGTAGAGAAAAGAGAACACTTTCATACTGTTGGTGGGAGTGTAAACTAGTACAATCATTATGGTAAACAGTATGGAGGTTCCTAAAAAATTAAAAATAAAACTACCTTTTGATCCAGGAATTCCATTATTAGGTATATTCCCAAAGGAAATGAAGTCAGTATGTCAAAGAGATATCTGCACTCCCATATTTACTGCAGCACAATTTAATAGCCAAGATGTGGAATCTACATAAGTGTCTAACAACAGATCAATGATTTTTTAAAAAATGTATTTTATATATATACACACACACGATGCAATACTATTCAGCCATAAAAAAGAATGAAATCTTATCACTTGCGGCAACACAGATGGACTTGGAGGATGTTATGTTAAGTGAAGTTAGGCAGGCACAGACAGACATGCCACATGATCTCACTCATGTGGAATCTGAAAAAAAAAAAAGTTGATATTATAGAGGCAGTGAATAGAACATTGTTTACCAGAGACTTGGGGCAGGGGCAGGGAGAGGCAGGTTGACAGGTACAAAATTACAATTAGAAAGGAGGAATGAGTTCTGATGTTCTATTGCACAGAAAGATGACTATCGTTAACAGTTAAGTTTTGTATATTACATAACAGCTAGAGGAGAGGCTTTCGAATGTTTCTGACAACAAAGAAATGATAAATGCATGAGGTGATTGATACATTAACTGCCCTGACCCAATTACTATACGACACATACTTGTATCAAAACCTACTTATGAGGTGATATACCTCACCTCATAAATATGTACAACTACAATGCATAAGTTAGAATAAAATTTAAAAAAAGAAAAAAATTTTCTGTAGAACTTCTCAGTTTTTAAGGGTATCACAGACATTATTTCACTTGTTTGAGGGCCTTCTTTCTATTAAGCATTTTGCTAAACATTGTCCTCACTCTTTATTGCTCATCTACTGGGGAGGCAGACAAAGAAGTAAACAAGTAATTACATGCAGGGTAATAATATCCACAATAAAGGCATGAACACAACTAAAGAAGGAGTAATCACAAGAAGTTTCAGTTGAGTTTTAAAGGACAGCTGGAGTTTACCTGAGTAATTGGGTGTATGGAATAGGTTTAAAGGTTAGAGGGTGAGGAGAATGATATTCCAGATAAAAAGAACCTAAGAAAATTCACAGAGACCTGAAATAGCATTGGCACATTCATAGAACTGTAAGTAGTTTGGTGGTAGCATAACATAGAATATGTTTTGAGAAGTTATGGAAGATATATACCATGATAAAAAATTTGGACTTTATTCTGAAGATGATGAGAAGCCTTTGATGGGTTTTAAGCAAGGAGGAAATGATTAAATTTATGTTTTATAAAGATAGCACTTGTTATAAATCCAACATTCATTCATGACAAAAACTCTCAGCAAATTAGGAATAGAAGGGAAATTCTTCAATCTAAAAAAGAGTGTCTACGTAAATCCTACAGCCAACCACATAACTAATGGTGAAAGACTGAATGTTTCTTTCCTAAGATCAGGAACAAGGCAAGGATATCTGCTTTCATTTCAATTCAGGATGATACTGGTGGTTCAATAATGTAAGAAAAAGAAATAAAACATATCCAGATTGGAAAGGAAGAAGTAAGCCTGTTTTTATTCACAGATGGCATGATTATCTTTAGAAAACTGCAAGGAATCTACAAAACAGCTATTAGAACTAATAAGTGAGTTTAGACAGGTTGCAGGGTAAAGATTAATATATAAAAATATATTTCTATATATTGGCAATACAAAATCAAAAATTAAAATTTAAAAAGCAGTACCCTTACAATAGCATCAAAACTATGTAATACTTAGGGGTAAATTTAACAAAAGGTTTATAAGACTTGTATGCTGAAAACTGTAAAACATGGATGAGAAAAATTAAAGAAGACTTAAATAAATGGAGAGATACACCATTTTTATGAATTAGAAGTCTCAGTATCGTTAATATGTCAGTTCTCCCAATTTTTTTTTTTTTCCTTTTTGTCTTTTTTCGTGTCCGGCAACGGATCGCACCCCTCAGTGTTGCGCCCGTACCGGACCGGGACCGGGAACGGGATCGCAACCCTCGGTGTTGCTCCCACACCTCGCTCAGCCAGTGAGCGGGAACCGGTCTGTATGTGGGATCCGAACCCTCGGCGGGAGCGCCGCTGCGCTCCCAAGTGGCGCACTGTAGCAGTGCGCCACCGGGCCGGCCCCCAGTTCTCCCAATTTTATCTATAGATTAAAAGCAATCCTAATCAAAACCCAGTAGGCATTTTTCTGGAGAAATTGACAGGCTGATTCTGAAAGTCATGTGGAAGTGCAAAGCACCTAGAATAGCCAAGACATTTTTGGAGAAGAACGGTGTTGGAAGTCTTATGCCACTTGGGATGATTTCTAACACCAACAACCATTTTCTCATTCTCTCAACACCAACTGGGTGCCCAACAGTTTAATTCAATTCTGACCCTATTTACCTGAAGTTAGCATCAGATTCCACAAGTTAAAAGTCTCAGTCCCATGAGACTGTCCCCACTTCAGAGCCACTGACAAGTCCCAGGCCACCCATACTTCTCATAAGCTGGCTATAAATCATATCCCCTTCCCAACTTTTGATATTTTCTGAAATGACTCCCAGAACTCAGGAAAGCACTTTACTTATTACTCCTGCTTTATTATAAAGATACAACATACAACTCAGGAACAGCCAAAATGGAAGAGATTCATAGAGCAAGGTTGTGGGGAGAGAGCTTCCATACCCTCTCTGGACACATCACTCTCTCAGTACCTTGATGTGTTTACCAATCCAGAAGCTCTCTGAATCCCATATGTAAAGGTTTTTATGGAGGTTTCATCATGTAGACATGATTGATTATTAACTCAATCTCCGGACCTTCTCCCCTCCCTAGAGGTTGTGGGGGTGGGCTGAAAGTTCCAGGCTTCAAATCAAGGCTTGGTCTTTCTGACAACCAGCTGCCATCTTGAAGCGATCTAGGGGCCCACCAAGAGTCACCTCATTAGAAAAAAGGTGCTTCTTTCACCCTTACCACTTAGGAAATTTCAAGGAGCTCTGTGCTAGGAGCCAGAGACAAAGACAAAATATCTTTCTATGATACCACACTACCTGAATTTAATATTTATTATAGAGTAAAGTAATCAGAACAATATGATATGGCATAAAGATAGACATATAGATCCATGGAAGAAAATAAGGTGTCTGGAAATAGCCCCACACATATCAATTGATTTTTGAAGAGGTGCCAAGGCAATTTATTAGAGAAGGGTAATCTTTTCACTAAATGGTGGAGAAACAATTGAATATCCTCATGAAAAAAAAAAAAACAACCCTCCAATTATGTCCGATACCATATACAAAAATTAAAAATGAATCATAGGCCTGAATGTAAGAGTCAGAACTATAAAATGTCTACAAGAAATCTTAGGAGAAAAGTTTAGTGATGTTAGGTTTGGTAATGATTTTTTTACTAGGACACAAAAATTTTTTAAATGGATTTCATCAAAAATTTTTAAAAATTTCTCTTCAAAATATACTATTATGAAAATGAAGATAAAGTATCCTTGCTGGGGTTCTTTGGGCTTTTGGGTTGCACAGAGTGGGAGAAAATATTTGAAAACATATATGGCAATGTACTTATATTTACATTATATATATCCAACCCACTACAATGGCTAAATTTAAAAAGACTGACCATACCAAGGGCTGATGCAGATATGGAAGGTGTGGAATGCCCAGAACCTGTTAGATGGCATGTAAAATGACAAAACCACTTAGGAAAACAGTTTAGAGGTTCTTAAAAAGTTAAACCTATTTCTATTATATAAACCAGCCATTTCACTTATGGGCATTTACCCAGGAGAGAAATAAATAATGTATGTGCCCACTGGAAAACTGGAAACAACCCAAATGCCCATCAATTAGATGGATGGATTAACAAAGTATGGTATATCCATACAATGGAATACTAGTCAGCAATAAAAAAGAACTTTTGTGGGTAATGGATATATTTATTATCTTAATTGTGATAATGTTCTCATGAGTTTGTAAGAATGTCAAAACTCACAAATTATAAAGTTTAAATATATGGAGTTTATTTACATCAATTTTGCCACAATAAAGCTATAAACAGAAAAAGAAGGAGAAGAGGGGGGAGTAGGAGAGGGAGAAGAGTAAGAGGAAGGAGAAGGAGGAAAAATAATATAATTGTAGTGTAAGGGTAGAAATGGGTTGAAGGAGAAAGATACTAAAGTCAGTGATAAAAATTAACAATCTACAATTAGTGTAGGAAAGAGAAGAGATGATGACCAAATTAGTGGAAATGTATCTCTCCCTGTATTGATCAATAGAGTTGATAGCCTGATATAGCTGGTGGGGCACATATCCCTTTCCTGACCATTCCATGTGCATCATTCATTTACACATTTAATAAATATTTATTGAGCACCTACTGTGTGCCAGGTACTGTTAGCCACTTGGAAGATGTTGGTAAAGAAGACAGACAAGTTTCCTACAGCCATATAAAGAGTACATTCTAGTCAGGAGAGGCAAGAAATAAATAAAAAGAAGGTAATTTCAAAGATTGATGTGTTACAAAGGAAATACAGTAGTGTAATTTGTAGAGAGTAACTGGATGTGAGAGAGGGAGAGGGTGAGTGGTTAGTTTATATTTTGATTCAGGGAAGACTGTTCTGAGGAATAATAAAGCTGAATTGTGAAAGACAAATACACAACAGGTAGAACAGCTAGGGGGAGAGAATTTTAAGGTAGATGAATCCACCTTACTAGGCATATACAAGAAACAGAAAGAAGAATGAAAGAGGAGAGAGTAGTAGATGAGAAGGATTGCCAAATAGATTGGGATTAGAGCATATAATTCATTTTAAGGAATTTGAATTTTATTACTAGTACAAAGAGATACCACTGGAAGATCTTGAACAGGGAAGTAACATGATATGATTTATGTTTTAAAAAGATTCTTCTGCCTGATATATGGAGCCTATTTGGGAGTTAGGGGGAGGAATGGAAACAAGAAGAGTTACAAGTTAAGCTGTGCTGCAAAGATTGGTCAAAAGTGAATTTGCAATTTTATTTTGGAGGCCCAGCCATCAGGATTTGCTGGAAAGTAGGTTGTGGGGATAACAGAAAGGGAAGAATGAAGAATGACTTCTAGGAATGGAAAGCATCATGTCAAAGGAATACCTGTACTCCCATGTTTATCACAGCTCTATTTACAGTAGACAAGAGTTGGAACCAACCTAAATGTCTATTGCTGGATGACTGTATGAGGAAAATGTTGTATGTGTAAACAATGGAATACTACTCTGCCATAAAAAAGAATGAAATTCTGCCATTCACAGCAACATGGATGAACTTATAGAAAATTATGTTGTGAAATAAGCCAGGCACAGACAGAGAAATACCACATGTCCTCACTCATATGTATGAGCTAAAAAAAAGAAAAGAAAAGAAAAGAAAAGAAAAACCCAAACAAATAAAAGAAAGAGAGATGTAACAATCAAAATAGTTTGTTGTACTTTCCAAAGGAGAGAACGGAGTTGAGGCCACTAGAGGTGGGAAAGGGGGAGGGGGCTTAGCAAGAAATTGGTAAAGGGCCACAAAATGTGATTACATTGTATAATGTTGAATATGCTAATTATTCTGATTTGAGCATCACATATTGCACATTGTGTTGATATTTAATGCTGTATCTCACGATATGTACAATCAATTATGTTTCAACTAAAAGAAATGACTTTTAGGCTTTTGAGTATTCTGGTGGGAAGTGATGCAATTTATTGAAATCAAAGAGACTTGGGGAAGAACATGTTTGGTATATAAATTAAATGTTCTTTTCTGAATATATATATAGTTGAGATGTACATTAGACATCCAAATAGAAATGTTAACTGGGCATTTGAAATATCAGAGCTGGAGATAAAAATTGAGGTTCATCAGCACATTGTGTTTTTCTATGTACTTACCTCTGTTGTCTCTGCCAGGAAAAGGATAGAGGGGGTTTGCCTTTTTAACACAGTGCCTCCCACCAACATTAGAAATTTATTTAAAGAGGATGACCATACTAGATAGAAAAAAGAAGGATAAAGATTAGACTGCAGAGTTATTTTGGTGGGAGGATTTATAGAATTTGGTGAACAGTTATATATAGATAATAAAGAGAAGGGAGGAATTAAGGATGGCTACCATGATGATACCATTAACTAAGTTTGGGAGTATAGGGGAATAGGAATTGCATTTTGGATTCCAACTTTTTTCCTTCTGTATATTCACACCATTTGCCATGGAATTACAATGTTCTCCCATAGTGGGCAGATACACTTTCACCCCTTGACTCTGAGTTTGATCATGTGACTAGCTGAGGTATTTCAAGCCAAAGCTTTAGAAAAGCTTATATAATTCAGCTTTCACTCTTCTGCGTCTCTTATCATCATGAGAAGTACATGCCTGTGCTGGCCCACTTGAGGATAAGACACACATAAAGCAAAGCCAAGACATCCCAATCATCCAGTTAAAGCCAACCTAAATCATCTTATAACTAGCCGACCCCCACTGCTCCCAGTTATGTGAACTACCTAGCCAAACCCAGCTGTTCCCAGTCATGTCAGCAGTAAACACGTTTATTGTTTGTCACTGAGATTTCGTGGTTCTGGCAATAGATAACTGATACAAGAGGGAATAGGTGGGGGTGGGGGAAAGAATTAGTCTGATTTTCGAATGTGTTGAATTTGAGATGGCCAATAGCAGCTGGGTGTAGAACTCAACAGCCACTTATATTCTGTGAATCATCAGCAGATATATAGCTCAAGATGTAAATATGGCTGAGATTACCCAAGGAGTGAGAAGAGAAAATTATAATGACTGAAATTTATATAGAGTGAGAAGAGAAAATTATAATGACTGAAGTCTGAGGAATGCCTACATTTGAAGGAAACTTTGAGACTGAGAAGGAAAGCTTAGAGATATCCAAGGAGAACCAGAGAAGAGTGTGAAAACTAAGTTTTAACAAGGAGGCACTAGTTATTAATTCTAAGTGCCCAGGGAGGCAAAGTAGATATTTTTATATTCACTTTACGAATGAAGAAAGTGAAGTTTGGGTGAGGTAATTAAGTTTGTTATACATGATCATACAAACTAATATAGCCATAAGGGTGCTGGAACCTAGATCTTTTGATTCTTAACTCAGGACTTTATCATTTTTATCATATTGTCTTTCTTGAGTGTGTAATTCTGATGTTCATAAGTATATTAAAATGTTTTGAAAAAATATTTTATGTATAAAATGTTAAGACTATGAAATTTTAATATTTAGAATTAGATGAACATTAAAAAATAAGAAATATATAACTCTGAGATCCTTCTGAGATTATAAAATAATTATATTACTTTATTGCATGTTTCCTTCTATTATGCATTAATTTTTTCTATATTAGACAAATATATATTTTTATGTTCAGTGATTTTCCTAAAGGCATTATGGATCAAAACAATGATTTTCCTCTCATGTTGAATATCATGAATTAATAATGATAATGTTGAAATATATTGCAGAATGAACTTCATGAGCTTGAAAAACAAATAGAAGCTGTCTCTGCAGAAACTAAAGAAACAGAGAGGCAAATTTTTCAGCAAGATGCTGCTATAGAGAATACCAAACTTCACTGTGGAAGCCTGGAAACTCAAATTCAGTCCTTACATACAGAAAATGTAAAGCTTAAATTTGACATAGAAACAGCCCAAGAAGATTTTGAGGAACACATGATAAGATATAATGTATATTATTCAAAAATAAAAGCACATAAAGATAGTTTGGGGGAGATAGAAAGCAAATGGTCATTTATGACTGAACTCCAGGAAAAACGAGATCTTGTTAAAAAACTAAAGACAATGAAAGAGGAACTTATGCAAGATCTCCAAAATCCACAAGGGAACCGAATAACACAAGTACAGGTTTGAATTACTTATCAAAATTTTTTCTATTCTTTTTTGCAAGTACATATATTAAATAATAAATTCATCATTAAGTTAACAAAATATGGTTACACAGCTATTCTACTATATTCAGAAACAATTTTCACAATTAAAAAAAAAACTTGAGGGCCGGCCCAGTGGCGCGCTGCTACAGTGCGCCGCTTGGGAGCGCGGTGGCGCTCCTGCCGAGGGTTCGGATCCCACATACAGACCGGTTCCCGCTCACTGGCTGAGCGAGGTGTGGGAGCAACACCGAGGGTTGCGATCCCGTTCCCGGTCCGGTACGGGCGCAACACTGAGGGTTGCGATCCGTTGCCGGACACGAAAAAAAAAAAAAAGATTAAAAAAAAAAAAACTTGAATAAGTACATGAGTTATGTAACTGTCCCAAATGTGCAAATTCATAAAGAAAACATCCACAAATGTCCTGTGGAGTTGTAAAAATACATGGTCAAACAAAACCACAGTGAACAATTAATCCATTCATTGCAGAAAGTGTAATTCACAAAAATGCCGAAGCCCTGGCTTCTATGCTAATGGATCCAGACCAATTTAAACCAATTTATTATGCTTAATGCTGTTATGCCAACAATATGAATTAATAATTACACCTTAATTATCTTTCTATTTCTCTTACTGTTCTTTGAAGACAATATTAGATACAAACTTAAAGCATCTACCATTTATTGCTAGAGTATTAAAAAGTATCCTTTATACTGTTGCTGGGCAGTTGCAACCATAAATACCACCTTCCTTTATATCTTATTTTCATTTGGTTTTTAGTTTTATGTTTTCAAATCCAAGGTTTGTTTGTTTGAATAACTGTTCTTTATTCTGTACACCAAAAATGATATTCTAATCATGTTTATCAAAATTAAATTTTTATTTGGCTAGTTTTCTTAAATTATAGAAACACTGAAAATCTTGGATTTATATTGACCATTCCTTTTTTGACTTGTATTTTAAATTTTACTAACATACAGGAAGACATTACAAAGCTAAAGGATAAAATTGTAACTATAAAAGAATCTATCACTGAAAAAACTTGTTTTCTTGAGGAAGAAAAAAAGACACATGAAAAATTAAGAAAAGAAATAGAGGTAAGTCTTAATTATCTAGATTTCAATGTTTTATGGGACCATTTCTTAAACTTATACTATATTCATATTTTCATAGTTTACTCTGAATCTCAAGGCAGCTAGAGAGCAAGAAAGAACTATAAAATTCAGTAGATAAATACAAATCATTAATAGATAATTAGACATAACTCCCTCAATCAAAGATGTTCAAATATGTGAATGCATTCAAACAAAGCAAGCACTCACTCCTATTTAAATCTGGCCTACAATTCTTCCAGGTCTCATTTCACCAACAACTTGGTACCCAATTAATGTTTGGAAAGCAGAGGCAGGACAGTCAAAGAGGATGACCATTCCTAGACATCAGAGACTCCTCAAGTAGAGTAAAAGACAATGGAAATCATTGTTATTCTAAACCTCTTTGATTTCATATTTGCAATTATCAAAAATCAAGTTAAAAAAAAAAAACGATATACAAAATTGAAAATGAGACTAAATTCCTAAAGTGTGTGGTGCCACCAGTAGACCTCTATAGTCTTTATTGTTTGGATGAATGGAGAACAAAAACAGAAAAGAATGTGGTATTAAAGGTAAATAAAAAATAATTTTTACCTGTAAGACATTAATTTGGAAAATAAAAAAGATGGATGTTTCAACTTACTTGTGACTAATTTGACACAATAAAAAAGCATCTGAGGAATATGAAGATAAAACCCTTACCTTTACATATGCTCTATAAGAAACAGTATGATTTTACATTGTGGTTTATTAGGAATCTAAATAAATAGGGTGTTTTTTTTTTTTTTTTTGCCTTTCTAGACACCACTATTTATTATCAAACTATAAATAGTAAGACAGTATACAAGTAGTATAAAAATAGGGAAAACACGATGAAGAAACAGGAAAAAAGAGAATCCAGAAAACCTTTGCATAAATGGTATGGACAAAATAGGTTAACTATATGGAAAAGTAAAAATAAAGAAAATTTTGAAATAATATTCAATTCCTACCTCCTAATACACACACACACACACACGCACTCCTAAAAGTATTGAAGACAATTTAGGAAAAAACTTAATTGTGTCAGAGAAGCATTTCTTTTAAAAGAGCAAAAAAACCACCCCAAACCATAAACTTTATGGTTAAATATTTTTACTTTTGACTTTGTCATAAATTTCTAGATTATGGAAATATACCATAACAATAGAGAAGACAAGACTCAATTCTAGAGAAGACATTTATAACATATGTAAGTGGAAAGAAAGAGATAAGAAAGTGTCAAACAAGCTGGTAAAATATCAGGTAAATGGTATGAAATGACATTTTTTGGAACATGAATATCCAAAAAACAATGGAAAATATGACTAACCTCATTAACCATAAGAGATTGATAATTAAAATTACAGTGAAGTCTCACATTTAGCCCATCAAATTATCAATATTACAGTTGGTAAGATGAAGAGCACCTACATTTTAATACACTCTTGGTGTAAGTGTAAATTCCTAAAATTTTAGAAAGAAATGTGAGATTACCTAGTAATTTTTTTCAGTGGCAACATTTTATTGAGGTATAATTGTTATAAGAGTAAGTACACAAATTGTAAATGTTTAGTTTGATTAATTTTGACAAATATATACATACAATTCTGTTACCATCACCTAGATCAAGATATAGAACTTTCCCAGCATGTCCAGAAAGTTCTCTTGTGCCCCTTTCATCAAGTAATCACTATTCTGATTTTTAAAAACAGTTTTATTGAGATATAATTTACATACCACACAATTCACCCTATAAAGCACATTATTTAATGACTTTCAGTACATTCACAGATATGTGCAACCATAACCAAAGTTAATTTTAGAAATTTTCATCTCCTCAAAAAGAAATCTGCACCCTTTAGCTCTGATTTCTCCATCTGTCTATTGTATTTACCCATGTTTTTGTTCCACCATGTTCATTTTTCCTTCCTGATGTTCTAATAAAAGATTCCTTCTTTTTTTTTTTTTTCCTTTTTGTCTTTTTTTGTGACTGGTAACGGGATCGCAACCCTCAGTGTCGTGCCCGTACCGCGACCGGCAACGGGATCGCAACCCTCGGTGTCACGCCCGCACCGCGCTCAACTAGTGAGCGGACCGGTCTCTATATGGGATCCGAACCCTCGGCGGGAGCGCCACCGCACTCCCAAGCTCCGCACTCTACCGAGTGCGCCACTGGGTCGGCCCAAGTTTCCTTCTTTTATCATTTCCTTTCTGTTTAGAAAACCTCTAAGTTCATTATCTTAGGTTATGTCTGCTGGTGACAAATTCTTTTATTTTTTAGTCTGAGAATGTCTTGATTTCTCCTTCATTCCTGAAGGATATTTCTGCTGGATACAGAATTCTTAGTTGACAGTTCTTTCCACAGTTGACAAATGCTGTGCCTCTTTTTTCTGACCTCTGTTATTTCTGACGAGAAATCTGCTGTCATTTGAATTGTTTTTCCCTGGATAGGTAACGTTTTTCTTTTTTGCTGCCTTCAAGATTTTATCTGTCTTGAGTTTCCAGAAGTTTTAATATAACATGTTTTGTCATAGATTTCTTTGGACTTATCCTGTGTGGGGTTCTCCTAGCTTCTTGGTTCTATAGCTTTATGTCTTTTGCAAAATTTGGGATTTTTCAGCCATTACTTGAATACTTTTTCAGTTCTGCCCTCTTTTTCCTCTCCTTCCAGAACACTTATGGCACAGATGTTAAATCTTTTGTTATAGTCCCATTGGCCCCTGAAGCTCTGTTTATTTCTTCTTTTAATCTGTTTTCTCTCTATTGTTCACATGAGTAATTTTAGCGTTTTATCTTCCAGGACACTGACTCTTCTATGTTCCCTCCATCTTCTGTTGAAATCCACTGAATTTTTCATTTTGGTCATTGTATCTTTTAGTTCCTTCTTAAATTTCCTTTTGGGTCTTCTTTATATCTGCTATTCCTTTGCCAGCACTTTCTATTTTTTCCTTTTTTTTTTTTTTTTTTTTTTTTTTTGAACACTTATGGCACAGATGTTAAATCTTTTGTTATAGTCCCATTGGCCCCTGAAGCTCTGTTTATTTCTTCTTTTAATCTGTTTTCTCTCTATTGTTCACATGAGTAATTTTAGCGTTTTATCTTCCAGGACACTGACTCTTCTATGTTCCCTCCATCTTCTGTTGAAATCCACTGAATTTTTCATTTTGGTCATTGTATCTTTTAGTTCCTTCTTAAATTTCCTTTTGGGTCTTCTTTATATCTGCTATTCCTTTGCCAGCACTTTCTATTTTTTCCTTTTTTTTTTTTTTTTTTTTTGTTCTTTGTCCTTTCTGAGACTGGCCGAACCGCACTCAGCCAGTGAGCGCTGTGAGCGCACCGGTCATCCCTATATAGGATCCGAACCCGCGGCGGGAGCGCTGCTGCACTCCCAGCGCTGCACTCTCCCGAGTGTGCCACGGGCTCGGCCCTATTTTTTCCATTTTTATTCCAGGCATGTTTATAATTACTTGTGAGCATTTTTATGAGGATTGCTTTAAAATGCTTGTCAGATCATTGTAACTTCTGTGTTATATCAGTGTTGGTGCATGTTGATTGTCATTTCTTATTCAGTTTGAGAACTTCTTGGTTTTTGTTAAGATGAGCAATTTTCTATTAAAAACTGGACATGTTGGGTATTATCTTTTAAGATTCCGGATCTTTGTTACTTCCAGGTGGTGGTTGAAGTCCAGATTCTCCTGCCAGTCTCCACTGATACCCATGTAAAGGAGAAGGGCTTCTTGTTACTGCTGGCCAGAAGTGGGAGTTTTGGCTGCCTCTAGGCCTCTGCTGATACCACTCTGGCTTGGAGAGGGAGTGGTGCCTTGATACTGCTCTCCACATGGTCTCCGCTGACATTGTGTGGAGGTGTCCTTACTGCTGGGTAGTGGTGAAAGTCCCGACTCTTCATTAGGCCTCCTCTAACATTACCCCAACAAGGAGAGGAAGTTTTTTTTAATTATCATTTTTTATTATTAGGATATTCATTGTTACAAATATAATTTTTCTTTATGCCTTTTACTGTACCTGCTACTCCCCAAACACCCTTCCTCCCTTCCCCCCATCTCTAGTGTCCTTAGGTTTGTTCTCTCCTTCTGAAAGTTCAGCGTATTTTTGTGGTCTTTTCTTTCTTTCTTTCTTTCCTTCCTTCCTTACTTCCTTCCTAAGGAGAGGAATTATTAACTCTTGATGGGAGTAGAACTCCAGAATCCTCGAATGGGCTCCACTGACAAAACAGGTTGTAGTTTATTACTGCCCAGAGGGGATTAAAACTCCTAGCTTCCCAATTAGCCTTCTCTGACACAACCCCAGCAGGGGGATTGGGACCAAGCGATGTTAGAAGTTTAGGTTTTCTGGTCAGCCTTTGCTGGTGTGGGTTGTGGAGGGGCCATAGTTTTTTCTGTAGTGTTTGACTTGAATAGAGAAGTTACCGCCTAAAAGTTTTCTGTCTTGCAAGGCTGTTGTTTTCCTTGTTTTTGGCTCGAGAGAGAGCAGTCTTTTCTTGGGGCTTTTTTGTCTGCATTTATTGGCATTTCCAGATTGCTGTCCTCCCCAGAATCCTTTCTGAAATATATGAGGAAGAAGAAAACACATGTTGTTCCTTGGGTCCTGAGGTTCCTAGCCAGTCTGCCTTCTTCTCTCCAACTTTCAGAAGCTTCTGATGTTTATTTTATATACAATGTCCAGGGATTTTGGTTCAACATTATTAGGAAGAATAGGTACATGAAGTACATCTACTTTATCTTGCCAGAAGCAGTAGTATAAATTGGTATTTTTAATGGTAAAGGGTGATGGAAGTAGCCACTAATGTTAATCTTAGAGGAAAAGACTTCCATATTTTAATGTTTTCATCATAAAACTTTTTGCCCCCCAAATTTAATAAACTACTTTTAAGCTTTCATAATAAGGATATCTCTATTAATATTCTTTTGTGCTTTTTCAGTTTAGTTCTATTACTTCTAATACATTTAAAAGTAGTCTTCAGT